AGTGGAGTGGAGAAGAAGAAAAAGAGGACTCTGAACAAGAGCAAGATCGCTTTGTTATTTTTAGCAGGAGGAAGATATTGAAGGGAAGGCTGCTGAAAGACCTGGAGGAGCCAGGCATGGTTAGGCTGGTAGATGCTTTAGCTGCACAGGGCTGGAAGGACATGGTCCTTCAGATGGATGGGAGACTAGCCAGAAGAGAGTTGATTGAATTTATGGCGAATGGCTCTGTGGAAAATGGGCGAGTAACCAGTATAGTGAAAGGTGTGAAGGTGGAGTTTGATGCTGCAAAGCTGGGCAAGATTCTAGACATCCCTAGTGAGGGATATGATGATTATACAAGGCAGAGGTGGCCTTGCCTGGATGGGTTGCCTACTGAGCTTCAGATCACAAGGAACTTTTGTGACACCACAACAGATGAAGAGGTACCTGAGGCCAGGGCAGTTCAGAAAAGTGAAATGAGGCCAGACTACAAAGTGCTTTTTGAATTTGTCAACAAATGCCTTCTACCTAGACAGGAAAGAAGGCATACAGCAAATTATATGGATCTGGTTCTTATGCAATGCCTGAATGAAGGGAAGCAGATCAACTGGCCTGCCTTTATTGTAAAGCTGCTTGAAAGGGTACTCAATGGCTCAAAAGCTCATGCCATTCTCTATGGATTTATCTTGACAACTGTACTTGAAAGATTGAATGTTCCCTTGAAAAAGTGGGAAATGGCTTCAAGCAAAGAGCATTTTGGCAGCAAAACCCTTCAAGCTTGTGATTATATGCTCAGTACAGCTCCAGTTGAACCTGGTTCTTCAGTAAAAACTCCTGTGAATAGTAAGGTCAGAGCCTTAGTTCAGGAGGTTGGGGCAAAATACGCTGAGATAGCAAGGCTTCAGGCCAGAGTTGCTGAATTGGAGGGAGAAAGGAATGGGTTGAGAGCTGAACTTGCTAAGGAGAAGGAGAAAAATGGGAGTATGCTTCAACAGATGCTCAATCTGCTACAAACCCAACCCTCCAGCTCTTCTAAGCCTTAGATATTCTGTCCTAGTGTGCACCAGTCTAGACCCCCTCAGTGACCCAGTTTGGGATTTTAGTTGTTTATTTTCTTTTGCTCATGGTTTGGTAATTTCGTTTTTCTTCTTGTGGACTGCATTGTAGAAACACCTTGCTAATCAATGAATGCAGCTTTTCTTGCTTTTTGTTAATTCTGATCTTAATAGGTATTTGTGTCGAGTTGATTTCTGATTAACTAAAGCATGTGTTCACTTGCAGTTGCCCCAGTGGCCATGAGTACTAATTAGGTTACTGAGATCACATTATTTATGCAACTTTTCGATGATGCCAAAAGGGGGAAGATATAGTGTGCTTTAAAAGAAATTGTGTCTATTTTCTGAACAGTGATGTTTATGACCTAATTAAATCTGGCCCTTAATGATAAGTAAGTGATGATATTTTAGCTGAGTTCCACAGGTTCTATAATCAGTAAAAGCACAGAGTTTGTTATCATCAAAAAGGGGGAATTTGTTGGCCCAAGATCAGTTGAAGTTTTGAAGAATGACAAACGAACTCAGTAAAGGACCAGGTTCTATAATCAATAAAAGCACATAGTTTGTCATCATCAAAAAGGGGGAATTTGTTGGCCCAATATAAGTTGAAGTTTTGAAGAATGACAAATGAACTCAGTAAAGGACCAAGGTCATCCAAGGAGACACAGTTGTTATGGCCCATACACATGAGATGCACGTGAAGAAGATAAGTCCTTGAGATCAAGCAGCAATATCTTGATGGATATCTTCTGAACTGATCGAAAAGATTGCATATAGGATAAGGAGTTGAAGTCTCCTTATGAAAAGAGAATTACATCCGGATCAAGAATATGGATTAGGAGTTAGAGTTGTTCTTGAACTCGAATTGTCAAAGGATCCACAATTCGAGTTCTTATCAAACTCTGATTACTAACTCTATAAATATAACGACTGTTCTCTTTTACAGGTGATTGCACATAAGCTGAAGTTAAACCAAATTGAGAGCAAAAGAGCTAGGCGATTGTTGCAAGCAATTTGTGTGTGATACAAGTGTGCAAATCTGAAGCTACAAGAACTAAGTGTGAAGAACCAATTCCATTGTGTCTTTCTTTATTTCTAGTTCAATTGTAGTAGGTGTTTTAACATTGTACCTTTCGAGCTTTCTTAGAAGCAATTGTATTAGGTGCATTGAGTATTCAAGTTAGAGTTAACTAAAGTGTCGCAACAGTTGAGGTTGTGTGCTACACTGGGATTAGAGTTAATCCTTAGGTTTACAAAGAGTTTTGTAAATGCTGTTTTTGACTCATTGAAGTTTAGTGGAAGTTTGGGAAAATCCTACTGAGTAGTAGGTCGTGGTTTTTTCACCTTTTGAGCCAGGTGTTTTCCACGTAAAAATCTTTGTGTTCTTTATTTCTGTATTTTAATTCCGCAAACAGTAGAAGTTAGAACACCTAGAAGAACCAGGTTCTTCTAGTGCGAAAATTTGGTACCACACGAACCCCTCCCCCCTCTTGTGTGATATTGACGTCTAAAACATCAATGTGGTTTAATTCAATACGAATAACTAAGAACAACAAGTAAATGAATTAAAGACAAAATAAATGATCAAACCAATCGCAATGTAATGACTAAGCCTGATCTTAGCTTGAACAATGGAATTTGTCCTAAATGGGACTCTCGATTCAAGCTCGGTCGCGAGTGAAGAAAAGAACATACGAATAATGCCTTGAACATTAGAGGACAAAAGCAAACTTTTATTGCTTTGATTTGCGTGTCACAATGTGTTAGAATAAAGAAAACCCTCTCCTTTCTATGGTAGGGGAATTTCAGTCCTAGTACAAGTCTAAAAAAGGTAAAAATCTTTTTTTCCTGTAAATGTTGATCTACAGTTGATACTGAACAGGATTCGCGCCGTAATATCCGGTTGAGGGCGAATATTACGGCCTCCTGCTCTCATGCATAACCGTTCGCCGCGTCCTCCGAGGTCCAGAAGCTATACTTGGCCCGGGTCCATCACTTCACCGTATACGATCTCAGATACATCATTCACTTCTCCTGGGTTTTAATACGAGGGGCTCCCGGCCTCGATTTTAATCACTTTGAGCCGTGCTTACCCTTTGTTCCTTCATCGGGAATAACTTTGCCCCCGGTTTTACCCATACACAAATCATAGGATAAAAATGGATGGTTGAAATGGAGAAGCTATTATCAGGGTTATGTGGTAGAGGATGCATATAAAGGTGAAAGATGATGATAATAATAATCTGTACTATATTAAAAGCACGAAGCCTCTTAGCAAAATTTTGTTTGCCTTTTTTACCCTTTAAAAAATTGCTTTCACACTAGACAAAATAGTCATTTAAGATTTGTCCTAATATTTAAATGTATTTATGAAGATTAGGTACACTCGCAACGCGCGTACCACAAGACTGATACTAATACTACTACTAATAATAATAATAATAATAATATATTATTCAAGATGCTGTCACCTGGTTCCAAGTTATTGTTCGTGATGGCAACATGCCAAATCTTATCTTAGCCATAAGCAATTTCCTACCTTCCCTTTTCCTCACTTTCATGCTCCATCCGATTTTTGCTACTTTTTTTATCCAATTATGAAAAATGAGAAACTTTACTTTATGGGCGTGAGGTCCTGTGCAGATAGCATTACAGTAGACCCATTTATAATGGTTTTTGGGGTGGAGTAAGTATAATTTTGAGAAATTTTTACATACTTATTTAGTGGTTATTAGCTAGTTATAGCTACCATTTACTATATTACTTTATATAGCTATGTTTTCAGTTTTGCTAGAGTGCATTTGATGTATTTAAATTACTGTATTCATGAATACAGTAGCAAAACTCGGCGTGAAACAGGAAAGTACAGCTAGACAATTATAGTTTCGACTGTATTCACGATATGTATTCGTGAATACGGTAACGTAAATAGCGTAAATCGTGGTCTATTCAGTTGTTTTTAAACGGAAAGTGAACAATTAACACAAATAGACTCCTAATATGACTCAACAAACTCAATTATAAATCTGAATGCATAAAATATATTAATTAAAAAAAACATATGAATACATTCATGGAATATAGCGAGACAGTAAATACAATGAAATACACCGAGATACATTGAAATACAATGAAAAAAAGACAACGAATACAACGAAATACCTAGAATACAGTGAGATACATTGAAATACAATAAAAAAAGGTAACAGACTCTTCAAGTTACTCAGCCCCAAAACTCCGTCGTCTTTGTTCAAGAATAACCCACAAGAGGTAAAAGTTCCAAAATTATTTACAAAAAATCCAAAAGCATCGAACCTCCGATTTCAAGAATTCTTTCTTGGCTTCTTTCTTTTCTGGAATTCAATACAATCATCCATTCTATCGCTTTTTCTCTCCCTTTTTCTGTCTCTATAATTCAGATCTGTGCTTTTCTTTTCTCCGTCCTCGATTACTTCTTTAATCTTGTGACCTCAATTTGGTATTGTCTGAATTGGAAAGAGAAGTTGAAAGACAGAGAAACTCAAAATATTAAATATTAAAAAAAAGTCAGAAAGACGGAGGTTATGCGTCAGAAGAAAGGCGGAGGTACGATGATTTGTGGTGTTGGTTGAGAGAGAGGATGGAGAAAAATCTGAAAGAATGAGAGAGAAAAATAATACAAAAGGTATTTTATTGCTTAAGGGTAGGAGGTGACCATAAATAGATATTTGGCTATAAAAAATAAAATGTAACTATGGAATATAATTTTTTAAAAGGGTATTTATTTAAAATAAATAAAGTATCTAACATCTGCTATAGAAGGTAAAAATTCCTATAGTTGATTTTAGGATTCTGTTACTTTAATATCGAAACTGCTGTGGGTTTTAGTTTTTGGAAAGAAGCCCCACCATTGAACTATACGTTTAGCATTAATCCCAAGTTCACAACTCCATAAGTAATACTACTAACGTTCATTCACTAAATAAATAAACGAAAACATATATAGTAAAACTTTAAAACAAATAAATTAAGATTACTCTTCCAACGAAGATGTTTTACAAAATCTAAGAAGGCCGACAAAAGAAATTAAAACTAACTAAATAACTACTAGCATTCATACAAGTAATCATCCTTAAAGATTTTTAATGATATAAATGATGAAATCATTGTGCATACAAATCCGCCGAGACAAAAGCTAGCAGCTACGTTTTCTTTGTTCAGAAAATCAACGGTGATCATTGCACGATTAGGCAAACAATTCAAATCCACCGTCAAACCAAACCCTGCTGCTGCACCCGTACCCACTATCATCGACATTATCTGCTTATAATCAAGAAAAAATATTTAGTTTTATACGTACAAAATAAGTAAATCCCTGTGATAAACATTGTTGGAAAAAACGGCTTTTGGGCCAAGTACACACTCATAAGGAAGAGGTAGAAATGACACCAGGTAACCATTTTAAAAGGGCTACTATTTAAGAATTAGTCAGTGCGTTCTGAATTTCAGGTTTTCAGTTCAAATTTCCGGAATAAAATATATCCTGAATTAGCCTGAAGTTAAGAATTTTAGTATAAAACTTTAGGACAAAATAAGTACTGGTTAATCTCTAAAGTCTAAATACCATTCCTGAGAATGACTATATATGCACTTGCCCCCATAAGGAGTGCTAGCCAACCACTTAAACCAAAATAGCAAAATAAGGTATAATATATACATAATTTATGTATTATATGTGTATTGTATATGATCTATATATAATCTATTTATATGGCTAGAAAAAGTAAACAATGAATATGACTGGTTATTTGTATAAAGATCCCAAACTCAAATGCAATTAAGTCTATATAAACACCATTATGGGTGTTGGAATATACAAAAGAAATTGGTGAATCAGCTAGGGTTGGATATTAAATTTTTGTTCTTAAATTGAGGGTAATTAGACTGTGAAAATAAGGGAGTTCGTCCGGTAAGTAGTGAGATTTCCAACGACTAGTAATTCAAGTCGTATTGCTACAGACGATTCGCTTAAATCGCTTCTGCTTTCGAGAAAACAGTAATAGCCTGTTTGGCCAAGCTTTTTTTTTGGCCAAAAGTGTTTTTTTTGGGCCAAAAATTGAGGTGTTTGGCCAAGCTTTTGGAAGGAAAAAAAGTGCTTTTGAGGAGAAGCAGAAGCAGTTTTGGAGAAGCAGAAAAAAGTAGCTTCTCTCCAAAAGCACTTTTTTGAGAAGCGCTTTTGAGAAAAATACACTTAGAAGCAGTTTTTTAAAACTTGGCCAAATACCTCAGAAGTGCTTTTCAAACTAATTAGCCAAACACAAACTGCTTCTCACCAAAAGTACTTTTGAGAAAAGCACTTTTGAAAAAAAAGCACTTCTCAAAATAAGCTGATTTTTGCAGCTTGGCCAAACGGGCTATAAGTCTCCTAAACTAACATTTCATAAAATTATTACAAACATATTTTAATTGATTAAACTACACGTACGATGGCATACCTTATCAGCATATACGTCAAAGTGAATGAGTTTATCACAGACGCAATCTCCAGTCTTCACTTGGATTATTGCAAATGCTGTTTGTAGGAGAGAATATACAAATCCAGCAGCAGCACAAGCAAGCATGTAACTGAAAACCCCATCATTTTACAGCGCCAAATATATATGAATATGTTAAACTTTCAAATAGTATACATCGATCGTGTAAACAATTAATTATTATGTCAGACTTGTTATAAAGAGTTATATGTTGGTCAACTTAATCTAATCGAGTAACTAAGTAATATATTGTCAGTAAATAAAAAACTCATACAAATATTAGTAGATCCGTAGGGCTAAATTGTAAGCAATAGTTATACATACTAAGGCCTCGTTTGTACATTTTTTTTAATGTGTTTGTTCATGAAATTTAGCAATTTTTTGAAAAAATTTCGAAAATGAGTTTTTCAAATTCAAAATTTTCAGAAAAATATTTTTCCCCACAAAAAAAAGTGAAATGCATGTTCAAAAAAAATGATTTCAAATTCCGAATATTGTTTTTCAACTTAACTCCAAATACTACCTTTTTTCAAAAATTATAATTTTTATATCCAAACGCCTACTAAGTAGTCCCTAAAAAGTGCTGCTTTCCTTAAGCCAAAGAGTCTTCCGATCCGGAAATATTGTCTCTACCTTCACAAGGTAGAGATAAGGTTTGGAACAGATTACTCTTTTCAGACCGCGACACTTTGAAAATATATTAGGTATGTTGTTGTTGACAACGTCTCCGGCAGACTTTCCACCGGAAATCGTTAATTTCCGACGGAACGTCCGTTGAAAATTGCGTTTGTAATAAGCATGCAAAAATGAAAGATGCAACAAACTCCCTACTATATTTAGGTAAAAGTAAATTAAAACACTTACCGATAAGCATAGAAATCAGAAAAGCCAAATTTGACTTCAACATCTTTGTGAAATAAGGAAGCAACAGACATATGAGAGGAGGCAGTAGTGAGAATTGTGATTGATGTTGCCAAGCAACAAAGTGAAACAATCCTTAACAATAGATTTACAATTGTTAAGCAACCCATTTTTCCTCTCTAAGTTTCAAGTTCAAGAAATTAATTATATGAAGCTATAATTTGCTATAAACTTTAATTTCTCCAATAATAATTAAGGAATTATTCGCATCTTCATCATTGTCTTACTGTCAAAAGTTGACATATACTTACCTACTTGTAAATTAATCTATCCATACCTGCCATGCATGTCCTGGCAGGGTGGATACGGTTTTTCAACTACGGGTTTAATTGAATCTATAACTTTTAACACGGAATATGGATTAATTATATGTAAAACTAACTAGAATTTTAACAAGTATTAGATTTGAATCAATAATTTTAATAGTTGTACAATGAGTTTAATGCTAAAAAATTTAAAACTAAAGCTGAACCCAATAAATTTAAATCCTGAATTCGGTTCTGTATCTTGTGAGACTTTGCATGGAATGGAACGTCTACTAGTTCTTTCCTTCTGTTTTTTATTTTTATTTTTATTCTCATGTATAGATTAAGAATCAGGGCAGGTCTAGAATGTATCATTTATGGCTTCATTTGAACCTGATAGCTTTGACGGTATGTGTATATTTTAATAAATTCATTCAATAGATACAAGTAATAAATTTGTATCGAATAGGATGTGATACAATCTCGAATTTAAAATCATAATATTCAAATCTTGATTTCGCCTTTCTTAAGAATATTTATATTGTTAAAAATTCTTTATAAAATGGAGATTCTCAGTAAAGAAACGAAAAGGTCAGCAATATTGGATATTTCTGTTATTTGTAGTACCATATAATCTTCAAACTATTCTCTTTGGTTGTCAAGAATCAATTGACATTAGAAACGAAAAGAGACAGATAGATGGGAGAAGAGATGGTCGAGACGTGCTCAATTGACCAAATAATTAAGTTTATTACATATATTATTTTTTCGCAGCTTGTGGTATAAGATGTGCCATTTAATTATTCAAATTGTAACTACAGGGAGACATCATTATTAATATTTGAGCTTTAACATAAGTTCCCCTAATGGCAAAGATTGAAAACTCGACTAAAAACTCCCACTAATTTTTTTTTTTTTTTTTTGGAAAATTCCCATAGAAACCCACAACCGCTATTATTCGGGTGGGTAACCTGCTCGCTGTGTAATAACTCACAAACCATATAGGAGATGTATGTACAGTGTGACGAGCTCTGATTGAGGAGGCTGCCGGCGAGGGAAATTGATCTCAGTTCTCCCATTTGGAAAAGAAATTTTTACCTCCTATAGCAAAGGTTAACACCTTATTTATTTTAAATATATACCATTTAAAAAAATTATATTCTATAGATACCTTTTAATGTTTATAGCAAAATATCTAATTTGGGTTACCTCCTACCCCTAAGCCACTAAATACGCTAATCAGTTATAATATTTTCTTTCTCTCTCTACTTTGATACATCTCATTCTCTTCCCCAATTTCCCGAAAACACGATGCTCAATCTAATTCACTTCTCTCGGCCGCACCACCTCTTCCCGCCTTCCTCCTCCTTCCGCCGCCTTCTGCTACCTCACAAATGGAAGCTCAAAACTTCTCTTTATTGCACCCATAAAAATCCATCTAAACCACAAGAAAAAAAAAAGGGAAAAAGTTTTTTTTTTACTCAATTCCCTCCCTTTCCTGAATCTACATATTAGACGTAATATCAAGAATTCAATAATGGACTGGCGTCCGTTTGATGTCACTGTGGTCTCCGCCGCAGGCATAAAAAATGTCAATTACTTCTCCATAATGGATGTTTACGTCGAAGTTTCAATCGTAGGTTATGCCAAGAACACAAAGATTCGCGAAAGAGTTGAGGGTTTTTGCTCGACGGCGGATTCGCCGGAAATTAGGGTTTGTTCTTGAACAAAGACGATGGAGTTTGGGCTTGAGCAACTTGATTTTCTGTTAATATATTTTAACGTTTTTTCAACGTATCACGCTGTATTTTCATGTATTTCATTGAATTCATTGTCTTTTTTTCCATTGTAATTCAATGTATCTCGTTGTATTCCATGTATTTCATTGTATTCACTTCTTTTTTTCTCATTGTATTTCAATGTATCCCGCTGTATTTTATGTATTTTATTGTATTCACTGTCTCGCTATATGTCATGAATGTACTCATATGTTTTTTTTAATTAATATAATTTATGTATTCAGATGTATTATATAATTTCTCTGAAGATTGCTATATTTTTGGGGTATCTTTCGGTTGAGAATCTTTTTTATAACTGAAAATACAAAATTTGTGTCTTATAATTGAGTTTGTTGAGTTATATTAGGAGTCTATTATGTTAATTGATTCACTTTCCGTTTTAAAAATAGTGTAATCCCCTATTTCACGCCGTGAATAGAGTCAAATACAGTCGAATACAATAAACTGTCCAGCTGTAATCCCATGTTTCACTCCATGAATACAGCCGAATACACTCGAATACAACAATTGATTAGCCGGACTTCCCTGATTCACGCCTATTTTTGCTACTGTATTCATGAATACAATAGCTTAAATACATCAAATACATCTTATAACCACATAAAAGGTATCTATAATCCGTAATATAGCAAATGGTATCTATAGATGGCTAATTACTACTAAAAGATAGTGCTTTATGAAAATTTCTCTTTGGAAAACCACTCACCCAACCAACCTAGCCAAAAGTCCTAATAATTGCAAGCCCAAATAGAAACATCTCAGCAGGGGCGAAGCTAAAGGGTGATCAATTTACACTGTATATAAGTACAAATATTAGGTTTTAGCAGTATATATCATTTACTGAACACCCTTTGTCGAGAAATATTTTTCACTTCTTTAAGAATGGTCAATTTACACTGTATATAAGTAAGATATTAGGTTTTAACAGTATATATCATTTACTGAACACCCTTTGTCGAGAAATATTTTTCACTTCTTTCAAGTATGAACACCCTTGAAGAAAATTTTGGCTTCGCCATTGCATCTCAGTTAGACTCTTTGCAAAGCCTAGCATGGGTGTTAGCTTGTCCTGTCAATGTGTAATCTGCTCAATTGGTCTAAACTAGGGGTACGGTGGGCATCGGTCGGTTTGGTTCGGTTATGACTATTATCGGTATAGCATATCGGTTATCGGTTTACAAATTTGATAAATCGATAACCGAACTGATAAGATATCGGTTATCGGTTAATCGGTTATCGATGATTATCGGTTCGGTTATCGATTTACCCGATAAGAAAACTCAATCTGGAGTTAAGCAAATAAGAGAAGACAATTCACTGGAGTTACGCAAAAAAGAGAAGAATTCACATATAGTATACTACCCATTTCTGCGTTTTGTCCAGTGGCCACAACTGGAATAGTACTAATTCTTCAACAACTGTTGTCTAAATACATTAATAATAATTCAAAGTAGTAGCAATTTCACCTTAAAATTAACAAGTCCAAACATATAGTACTAACAATCCAAGATAAACTAGATGTTGTTTGTCAAATGCCTAACCTGAAAAAAGAAACCATAGAGCAAAACCTTGATCTCTGCACGAGCGATACTAACACAGAAATGAAATACACCTAGAAGGCAAGAAAATGTTGTCCTGTTGTCAAAGCTCAGCGTACTGTACAGAAGAATAATGTTCAAAAATATACGCAAGACTGACGAAGATTGTCGATTGAGAATTGATCAGTGCGAAGAGAAATTGGTAGTAGGTATAGGATGCACAACGTGAGCTCACAAAATTAAGAAACTGTCACGACCCAAACCCCGATCCGGTCATGATGGCACCTCTCGTGAAGACAAGGCCAACCAACCAACCCAAATTGCCTTTTCAGAATAGTTAATATTAATAAGCAGTTTTAGCATAACTAAATAACCACAGTCTAAACAAAAGATTTCTTTATTAAGTGCGGAATACAACCCAAACACAACCCAAACCGGGGTGTCACAAGTCACGAGCATCTATCAGAGTATAAATACCACTACAAGGCCTAAAATATGCAAAAGAGGACCGATAAACATAAGGAAGAAATGCGGTGCTGCGAATGCTAGCAGTCACCTCGCTAAACTCCGATAAGCTTAGCCTCCGATCAGCTCAAAACCCGCTACCGGGTGAACAAATACCAGCATCTGCACACAAGGTGCAGGGAGTAAAGTGAGTACTCCAACTCAGTGAATAATAAAGGTAAATAATAACTGAGCCGTAAGAAATCCCGTAAAACAAACCATCATGCTGTATAGAGCAGTGTAAAACCCTTTGAGAAAAACAGTGAAGTAGTGAAATCTTTAGAAAAACGTGTTAGCTCAATTTAAACCTCTTTTGGAAATGACTTTTTCAGCGGTTACACAAATGAATGCAAAACAAACAGTACGGATAAGCACAGAAAATCCGCCCCTCGGGCACAACACGCCGTTCAGGTAATGCCAGGCAATCAGGTAGATATTGCATGAAGTAGCACAGATAACAAACAATGGCAGACAAATGAAATAAGGTAAACACATAAAACATTACCAATACCGCTGCAGCGTGCAGCCCGATCCATTTATCGTCGATGGCGCTCACTGGGAGTGTGTAGACTCCGGGAGTGGCCCCTTACGGCCCAAGCGCAATATCAAGCCATCTCGTGGCATCAAGTCTAGGCCCTCGGCCTCATCTAAGTATCAGTATAACACTGCTGCGGTGTGCAGCCCGATCCAAAAGTATCCTCACACACAGGCCCTCGGCTTTACTCAGTCAAAAATCACATAAGCCCATCGGAAAACAGTAAAACATGCTGCTCGGCCCAAAAATAGTATAGGAAATATCATTTCAAGAGTTAAAGCAAACTAAACTTGGCTGAGTTTTGAAAACTGTGGAAAATACATGACTGAGTTCAAGTATAAAATCAAACAGTGAGGAAATATCAACAACCATCCCCGAAGGGGTTCAAATAATTGGCACGAAGCCCAAATATGGCAATCAACCCAAATTATGATGACAACAAAAAAGTTTCAGTCAAATATGCGGTAAAATCATCAATCGGGACGGACCAAGTCACGATCCACAACAGTAAAAGACCCCACGCTCATCATCCAGCGCGTGTCTCGCCT